GTAATTCTATAGGTAGGAACGTGATGAAGCGGTGAGTATGTTGTGTTTGTTGAAATCCGATGGTTTCCTATCTGTTACCGCACTATTACCGAAAATAAACAGTTATTTCGAGATTCATATTTCGATATTAAACGATGAAATTTATCCTGCATATTTTTTTAGTAAGATATAAATAAAATTGAGGAATTTTGTCGATAACAGATTATCCTTCGGAGAATCTTTTAAGTTGATATTCTTGAAGATGTTTGATATTATTGACGATGTACCTATTGGTATTTTCTTTATACATATAGTATAGTAGTTCACCAAGTAATTGTACAAAATAACAAAATGCCTGTTAGGATTATTCTGAGATTCCTATTTGAATATAAAACTGGGAATTTTATCCTGCTAATTCTCCCCTCAATTTAAATAAATTTGAAATATTTTATTGTTGATAAGAATCCTTCGGTGAGTCTTTTAAGAAGATATTCCTGATGATCTGACAATATTTGTGTTTTCTTTATTGTATAATAATTCACCAAGAAATTATAATTATCCTGATGCAACGAAATTGCCTGTTAGGATTGAAAATGTACAGTTATTTCGAGATTCTTATTTCGATATAAAACGGAGAACTTTATCCTGCTTACCTATTCTTTCCTCAATTTAGATATGTATAATAGAAAAATTTTATTGATAACAAATTGTCCTTCGGTGACTCTTTTAAGTGGAGATTCCTGACGATCTGACGATATTTTTGTGTTTCTTTATATAGTAATTCACCAGGAAATTGTAATGATCCTGATGCAACAAAAGGTCTGTTATGATTGGAAATACTGTTATTTCGAAATATCTATATCCTGCTTTCTGTCCTCAATTTAGATACAATAATTGAAAAATGTTGTTGATAATAATGTCTCATTGGCACTTTCTAGTGTAAATTCTTGAAGATCTGACAATAATTATGTCTTCTTCCTTTAGTAATTCATCAAAAAATTGTAGTTATCCTGTTGCAACAAAATCTGGTTAGTATTGTGTTTTAGATGAAATTTTCAAGGCGTTTTTTAAAAAGTAAAAAAATATAGAAATAAAGGATTTTTCAGTTGCGTGCTATATTTCTCTCATCAGTTTTGAAAACCGCCGTCGTCATGTTGTAATAATGAGAAAAATCCTCATCTTCCCTGAATTTATCCCTGTTAGCTATCCGTTGTATGACGATGCAGCTCGGTAAAGGTCCAACAAAAAACTTCATTTAACGCCGTTCTGCTTCTGAATATGCTTTTTTGATTGCATCTCGTAATTCCCGGCACACACTTTACCGCCGTTTGTTACTCTTCGCTCGTCCTTTTGTTAGTTTTTCGACCCTTTTTAAGGCTCTACTTAGAACAATGTTTGACAAATTTACGCGCTGAATAAAGCGATCATAATACGGAATTAATTACGTAATTCGCTTAAAACACGACGCTTCTCCTCGCCGTCCTTTTCGTATAAATAATTTACTTTTTCATTAAAAAACGCCGCGCGTTGATTACGCACGCAATCCGATAAAAAATCTCTTTGCGCCGCTACAAATCCCGCGACGCGCGACGTTCTTTTTGAAAACTCTTCATTCCGAATATTGTTTTTTGCACCGAAGCGGGAGCGTTGTTTTTGAGTCACCAGCGTGCCAAAAATAAGGGACTCTCTCGGCGGGAACAAAGTCTTCACACAGGAAAGCAGTTGTTTACTTTTTGGCGGAATGTTTTGCCCCGAACCGTCGCTTTTAATGGAGTTTTCGGAGGGGAACGGTGCGTTACCGCAAAATCAACGGCATTAGGGATATTAATGACTGTAGAAAGTACATTAAATGTAAATAGGAGTGGTGCATTTGCCTAATGTTGTGTTTGCTAGGTGCAAAGAAAGAGGTTGTGTAAACATTCAACAATTCAGTATTTGGAATTATAATCTCTAATTTAAAACTCGACACGCAATTTATAAGCACCACTAAACTCCACTCTATGGAGAGTTTTAAGTGAAACAAAGATGACTCAATTTGATCAACAACCTGAAATGGATCCTTTTTCATTGCTTGTTCCACATCGAATCCCTTTAATAGAAAGCGATCAAGATAAATGATGGCCCTCGGCCTTGAACCGAATCGTTTTGGATAAAGAAAGGTGGGAACAGGGATAGGTATGGCTGAATTAGGTTCTAACAAGATGCTATCTGAATACAAATTCCAGTAATGGCAATAAATAGTAACGCGGTTAAGGGGACTTTTTGGGGCTGTGGATAATGTCGTCGTGGTTTTGTCCGTTCGTAATTACAGTACCTGTGTTTTATTTAAGAGCATAATTCACTACTCGAATCCCCGATCGAATTTATTGCTTGTAGAAAGTTTGTTATTTAGGTATTTTCTATTTTATTCCGGTCGAGTGAATCATTGCAAAATCGATTCAAGTGCATGAGATTTTTATTATCCGGTTTACTTTAATCTAATTGTCCATCAATACTTGAAAACCTCTCAGAGTTTCCAAAGCATTGGCGAGGAACAATCTATAAAAAGCTCGAAATGATTCCAATTCCATCAATCCAATTATTTCATGAAAATTAAAAATAACACGAATAGTATAAAACTGCGTTAAAAACTAATTACTGTTATTCTTCCTTTTTATTTTCGCGCTGGAAAATCTGGAATATCGGGAGGTATAAATGCAATCAAGCGCATCGAAATGAAACGAAATTAATGTTGATTTAAACCGAAGAATTTTTTATTTAATTTGTACATTTCAACGCTAATTTAATGAATGAATTAATGAAAAATAACTGGGAGCAAGCGCGGTGATAAAACATCCAATCTTTAATAGGTATTTATTTCAAACAAAGCAATAATTTACTTCAAGCATTTGATTAGATCTCCAGAAAAATATTTCAAGAACATTAACTTTATTATATTAAGAGATGCCACCGCATAATTCTATTGAAATATTTCTTCATAATACCGATGAGTTTATTCACTTTTTCTCTATAGCCGTATTTTATAGAGAGGATAGGCGTCGTAAGCAAATTATTATAAGTAATTTCGCTTTCAGGAATGCTTAGTGAATTTTTTACTACCCTCTACAACCACGGCAATACCAAAGAACATTGCAAGTAAACCCCGACAAAAATTATACTGTGGACGCTCATTTATTTTTAATCCAAGATTTCTCGAATATTATTTCAAATATTCATAATTCAAATTGAATATATTTAACATCATAAAAATCGACCTTTTACAAATCAAATGATCGATTTTTGAATTTTTGCCATTTTTATACATTTTAAATAAAATAATCATTTTAATGCAAAGTGTTGCAATAGATCTTGCTTAGTATTCCTGTCATTTTTTCATAATCAAGTATTAAAATTAAAAAAAAAAGATTAGTATAAATGTTTAAATGTCAGTTGCCCAGTTGCGCAAATTCTAATCAAAAATGAATAGAAGATTATAAGATTAATTGTTTTATATGTTACCAGTTTGTGCAATTTGAAAGCGGGACCTATAATTTGTTGTTAAATCTGAGAAATAGGGGAAGAGAAAAAACGCTTCACTTCGACCAATGTGTCGTTATTAATATTTGTTTGTTCAAATGAATAAAACTGTACTTTGTGAGATTTCATAAGTTTTAAGCATCATGTAGTATTAAAATTAATTGCCTTCTCAAAAAGTTGTATATTTCAAGTCAAAAATTCATATTTCATACTGTCCAAAAATATAATACTTCGCCGTGCGAATTTCAGAGGAGTTTCTACTTTTCAATTTTACTCTGGACGGTCATTTATTTTTAATCCAAGATTTCCCTAAAATTATTTCAAATATTCATCATTCAATTTTCTGGAAATTCGCATTATTAATTCCGATTGTACACGATGCGAAGGTATTATTCGAACTGTTAGAAATTATGAACGAGACGGCCCGCATTCGGCAGAACGCGAGCGCCGCGACGCCGAGGTTCGCCCGAATGAATGCACCGCATTTATCTCGTCGAATTTCCGATTACTCTATTTAACTGAGGAATGTATTTTCATTGTTGTACAGCTTTGGGAATGCAAATTTTCCCAAAGGCGTGCAGCTAAAACGCTTCCATGTACCGAATATTAAATCTAACGAGTTTCGTACGGAAAATAAACTACATAGATGAAGTTTTTGAATTCGGAAGTAGCTGGTAAAACAATGCGAAAAGAGTCAAAATAGCTTTGTTTTGTAATTATAAATGTAATTACACTAGCGAAGACATGCCACTGATTAAGTCTCTATAGGAACAGAGCGCCGTGGTACCGTAAACCTAAATGTTTAACTTGAGTTATATCAGATGCGCTTCTGTCATAACCCAAATTGCATTGTGCAGCTTCTGAATTAACACGCCCTCAAGTGATTATTTACGATTTTCGTCGGGGAGAATATTAAATCTTCAAACGCCAGTCACGTCTTCGGTAATACCACGACAAACTCCACTCGAAGATAATTAAGATTTCCGAAATAGATAATATATGGTATAACATTAACTATACTATCGAAATAAAATCTTTAGTTCTTTAAATTTTATTAGTGACCATTAAATTCTAAAATAAGAAGAAAAGTAAAGGCAATTTATTGGTAGACTCATGTACAATTTGTAGGTATTGAACGGGAGACTAATATGGTTATAATCAATTAATAGACAATATCATGAATATTCCAGGCTTCGTTCAAAAGCTTATGCCTATAGTCATGCTTAAACATGAGAAGACTTATTATACTCGATATTAATGGATCAAACTAAAATGCAAGCCTAGAATTAATTAGAAACAATTTATTAAATGTATGTAGTTGATCTTTGATGGGTGCAACAAAGACAATTTCCATAGTTTCATATAAACGAAAAAGATCTACAGAGCTTCTGTATACTAATGTACCACCCTGTATAATACCATAGTAAAATTAATATTCCTATCACAAGCTGGACGACTACAAAAACTACATGGAAATTATAGTATAATAGTTTATCAGATTCAACTAAAGAAAATAAATTACACTAGCAATAACCGACTACAATAGCACACCGACTTCAACAAAACCTATTCAAATTAAATTTAACAGCGAACTTCTCCAATTCCTGGCTGAGTTCGGGATCGTCGTGGAAGTCGTCGCTCGACTGCTTCGCTCGTTTGATCAGATTCTTGCCTTTGGGCCGGCCCCGTCGCTTCCTCGTCATCTCGTTGATGGCCTCGAATTCCTCGAACGTGAGCGAATTGGCGCCCGCCGGGGCGGATTCGGCGCCGGGGCTGATGCTGGATATGGCGCTTTGTAGCTCCCGGGACTTGGTGCTGCGCACCAGCCGCTCGGCGAGAGGCGGGGGTTCTTTGATGGCGTCCAGTTGGGGATTGACCATGAGGTTGCTTTGGCTCAGGCCGAAGCGCCCCAGCACCTTGAAGTTTCGTCGTCAAGTTGTTGCGATGTAAAATATAAGCACTAATATAAGCACCTGTGAGATGTAGAAAGCTTTCTCGCTTTCTGCTAGGGAGTCCCAGGAGGTCATCACGGTGGTTTTGATTTGTTGTTTGGAAGCTGTTGGGTACATCCAATGGTACAAGGTTCTCGTTCGTTTGGAGAAAAGGGATTTGGCTGCTTTTAAAATTTCTACCTGCTTAGCTTGCGTAAAATCCTGCGAGGTTAAGTTATCGGTAACCTGGTAAAGAGCGCACGTATTGGTTTCGTTGAATGAAAATTATGTAGAAAACTTACTAATACAAGTTTTCCTACGTTCATATAAACTAGCTTTTTTTTCTTTTTCTTCTCTAACGCGCAATTCACCATCTGATACGATTGCGCCTAAAATTAACTATGAATATTTATGATTATACTTTAAGAAAATGTACTTACATCTACCGGAGATATAATTTTTCTATTAATAAATTTAACGTGTTCATTATGAAAAGCAGCGAAACTTTTATTGCCGTAAGTTAAATCAGTAGGCGCAACGGTCAAGTCTATAGGTTCCTCGGGTACATTGCAATAGTTCGAATTTTCATTCTTAAACGTCGATACGTGATGCTGCAAAATACGCGCAAACGTCAAACGAATTCGTTATGTAACACTTCTTTTTACCTTTTGTGTTTCCATTGATGAATTCCGAGATACGTCCTAGAAATTGGGCAGAATCTCGGAAACGACATCGAATTGTCAAATTTTTGTTATAAACAATTTTTTTTGTCGCGTTCCCGGGCAACTGGCGTTTTTAATTTGAAGTGCTCAATATTTTTCATAACATTTTCGATTTTCGAAAATTGAATGCAATGAAATTCCTATTTGAAAACGTCGAGTTTAGTGAAATTATCAATAATTAGAATACCCTTTTTATTGTACTTTTTTCTTACGCAATTGATTTATATTTTTACTATTAAAAAACTTTTATACGTTTTTATGTGGATGAAGCACATTTATTAAATTAGTATGATTCAATTTAGTTAACCCTAATTTATTAATAAAATGTAAAGCATTATTGGTGATTTTAAACTTAAAATTTAAATAGAACAACATTAAATAAAAGAACGTTGGAAAAATCGATTTTAATCAACTTCCTCAACTTTAGGCCCTTGGCCAGTCGGTGCGCTGCTTTGACCGCCTTGGTGGAGCTTCATCATGATCGGCGAGCACTCCTGCTGCAATTCCTTCAATTTGTGCTCGTATTCGTCTTTTTCGGCCAGCTGATTGGCGTCCAGCCAAGACAGCACCGCCGAGCATTTGTCCTGCACCAATTTCTTGTCCTCCGGGCTCAATTTATCGGCCGGAGCGTCTTCGGCAGCCTAAAATATAACGAAAAACTCCCTCAACAAATCACTTCAATAATTCTGATAATAACATTACCTGTTTAGCGCTGAAAATGTAACCTTCTAGTTGGTTCCTTGCCGTAATTCGCTGTCTTTGCTGCTCGTCCTCGGCCGCGTATTTTTCAGCTTCGGAAAGCATCTTGTCGATTTCAGCTTTGGATAATCGACCTTTATCGTTAGTAATGGTTATTTTCTCGGATTTCCCGGTGCTGCTGTCTCTAGCAGAAACGTTTAGAATACCATCGGCGTTCAAATCGAATGTGACCTCTATCTTGGGAATCCCGCGCGGAGCCGGCGGTATACCGGTGAGATTGAACGTACCCAAGAGATTGTTATCCTTCGTCATGGCTCGCTCCCCTTCGAACACTTGTATGGTAACGGCGTTCTGATTGTCCGAGTAAGTGGTAAACGTTTGCTGCTGCTTGCAGGGTATCCTGCTGTTGCGCTCCACGATCTTCGTCATGACCCCTCCGGCGGTTTCGATGCCGAGCGACAGCGGCGCCACGTCCACCAGCAGCACGTCCTGGATCTGGGAGCTGGTGTCTCCGCTCAGGATGGCCGCTTGCACGGCGGCTCCGTAGGCGACGGCCTCGTCGGGGTTGATGCTGAGATTCAGGGCCTTGCCGTTGAAGAAGTCCTGCAGCATCTTTTGGATTTTGGGTATTCTGGTGGAGCCGCCGACTAGAACGACGTCGTGAATGGCGCCTTTGTCGAGCTTGGCGTCTAAGAGGGATTTCTCCACGGGCTGGATGGTGGATCTGAACAAGTCCATGCACAATTCCTCGAACCTGGCTCTGGTTACTTTCGAGTAGAAATCTACGCCTTCGTGTAGAGCGTCGATTTCGATGCTGGCTTCCGTGCTGGAGGATAAAGTTCTTTTGGCGCGTTCGCATGCGGTTCTTAGCCTTCTCAATGCTCTTGTGTTTTTGCTGATATCTTTTTTGTGTTTCCTTTTGAATTCCTCAACGAAGTAGTTTACTAAGCGGTTGTCGAAATCTTCACCGCCCAAATGAGTATCCCCTGCGGTGGATTTGACCTCGAACAGGGAGCCTTCGTCGATTGTTAGGATAGATACATCGAAGGTGCCGCCGCCGAGATCGAAAATTAACACGTTTTTTTCGCCCTTTAGGTTCTTGTCCAGTCCGTAAGCTAATGCTGCAGCGGTGGGTTCGTTAATAATCCTAAGAACGTTTAATCCTGCAATGGCGCCAGCGTCTTTGGTAGCCTGCCTTTGGGAATCATTGAAGTAAGCGGGTACAGTAATTACAGCATCCGATACTTTACCGCCTGAAACAAATAGACGCGAATAAGTAAATTGAAAATTCGAATTATCATGTTAAGTACCCAGAAAGGTTTCCGCGACTTCTTTCATTTTGGTCAGCACCATCGAACTGATTTCTTCAGGTGCGAATTTTTTCGTTTCCCCTTTGTATTCGACTTGGATCTTGGGCTTTCCGAAATCACTGATTACTTGGAAGGGCCAGTGCAGCATGTCTTCTTGAATTTTCTGATCGTCGAATTTTCTACCTATCAATCGCTTCGCGTCGAAAACAGTGTTTTTGGGATTCATCGCCACCTGAAGAAGATATTTGTAGAAGGTTCTAAATGTAATTTTAGATGCATTCTAGAGGTTTAATAGAGGAATGGAAAAATGTATGTATTTTTAGTACCAATGTTTCCATGACTTGACTAAAGAAAAGTCTAATTTTAGCACAAAGTGCAAGCGGGATTTGATCGTGAAACTAGCGATCGCACTAGTAAAATACATAGATTAAATTTAGTTAACCCAATATCACAAGTAGTATCAGATCGGGTTTTTCGAGCCGATTGGACGCCGGCCAGAAAAGAGTTTAACAGGTTCATAAAATTCAATGCGAGTGGAATATACTAATTAGGTACATTTTATATAAATGCACGATAAAAATGAACGATCGCGTTTATTTGCACATCCAACAACTCATTCGTTCGATTTCGAATCGAACCTTTATAAATAAGTTTATGTAAGACGATCGATTCGCCGGACTTATTTGGGTAAAGTTACTTTTAAGAAGGCGAAGGCAATTGAACGACAGTTTCACATTCCAAAAATGGTATAAGCAATTTTGCAATCGTGTTAATAGGTTCATTATACATAATACAAGTGAGCTTAATCCTATACGAATACTATCTAATTCGTATTTAAAATAAATGCATGTATTTTTTTAAATTTGCAAGGAAAAGTTGTAAAATTCAAACGAATTCCAACTTCATAAAACTAATCAGAAATTAGAGCGCTCTCGCTGGAGTTCTCTAGAGTGGTATAATGGCTTATTAATGGCTCCAGCATACCCTACCTGATTCTTGGCGGCATCCCCAATTAAACGTTCGCTGTCGGTAAATGCTACATAACTCGGGGTAGTTCTGTTTCCCTGATCGTTAGCGATTATCTCGACTTTGCCGTGCTGCCATACGCCTACGCAGGAATAGGTTGTACCAAGGTCGATGCCGATGGCTGGAGTCTTGCCCATTTTGGTTGAGAAGGAACTGGACAAAAAGAATATGATTCATAATTGTGCGTATAAACGAATTAATTCGTTGGAAATATGGTAGGTATGTGGGAATATTATGCGTGGCTTTTGATTAGGTTGTTACCTACGAATATTATTTGGGAACATGGAATTTGCAATGTAGGTGTTTTTAAAGAATTATATGAAGTATTTTTAGGAATATTTGTAAAATGTTACTTTTGTAATTAGTTGATAACCATGTGTGGAATTATCGTTAATCTCTTCAAGCTTCAGCTATAATTGTAAAATTATAATTTTTTAACATATTTAAACGTTGACAATTTAATTTGTTTCTGACAAATTTTAGAGTAATAAAAAGAAAACCTACAGAAAAGAGAAGAAATTAGGTAATTACTTAAATCTACAAGATGTTTAATTTTTCGTTATAATACAATTATAGGGTTGAATTTATTTATCTATCGTTAGTATTTACCTATCAATGATAATTATTACTTAAAAAATCGTATGTTATTACAAGAAGTCCAGTTTAGGTTATATAGCAATTTCATTAAATTTAATGCACACAATTGATTAAAATCCTGAATTAAAATACAACAATTTTATATTTAGAGCTTCTCTAATTAGAATTTTGTTTAAAACCAAAAATAATATTCCAAAAATATACCTACTATTAAAAATTTAAAGTACCTACACTAATAATAAACTCTTAAATACAAGTAGTAGATTTACTATTTAATAAAAAACATTTTACTTACCGGCTCTATTCTGGCACTGTACACTTTGGAATTAAATTAACCTGTATTTCACCGACTCCTATCTAAAATGTAGATGAAGATATAGTTTCACGAAATTTTTGTATCTAAAAAGATTGGACCGAGTGCAACGCAGACTCCCACTTGTAGTTTTTGTAAGTAGGGAAAAGTGGGTTAAGAATAAATTTGTTTCTGTTGTGTCGTCGGCATTCAAACCAATGCACATTTAGCAAAGAATGCGATGCAATCATTCAAACTGAGACGCGTCCTTTAGATCAAAAACACTATTTGAAACATTTAAATTTGGAAATTTATTAGGTACTATAAACATTGTGAGATATTCCACTTGGATTCTTCGAAAACAAAGTATAATTGTAGTGGAAAAATGCAATGAATAAATAGTCCACCTGCTAAAAAAATCATAATATTTTATTATTTCTATAAAATATACTATGTAGTACTGCGTCACTTGCTCCTATTTGTGCTAGAATAGTCTATGTAGTGAGTAATTTTCTTAAAATATACCAAACGCATGTGAGTGAGATCAATATAACTAATAATCGGATAATAGCGAGATTTTTCTTAATATTATTATGTTCGATAAACAATAAAGTCTTTAATAGATTCATGGATTTGTAGGTACTATAAATGATTCTACTATTTATCTTTGTGTAAAGCATCAGTAACGTAATTTAAAGATTACAATTTTTCTCAGTTATTTTTATTATAGTCTTCGAGTTATGAGAGAAAATTTGTGTAAAAATTTGTGTGTTAGTAAATATCACATTAAATTGACCATTTTACCCTTTAGGTTTTGCTATACAGAAGTAGTTATACAGGAACTTTCTCTATTTTTGATTCCATTTAAAAAATGAAGAAATTTGATATTTTTGAAATTGAATTTTGTCCATTTTGTATGCGGTCTACCCAAATTTATTTTATACAAAGTATTTATTACAAAGTATAACAGTTTTTTTTTAATAATTAACCCTTTATTAAGCAAAAGAAAAATAAATTTCAGGTATTGTATTATTTATAGAACAGCATGTGGGTAATTGGGGTAGAATTTACCAATATTTATTTAAACGTAAATATACCTATTTTCATTAAGTATGTAACGTTCTCAAATCTCCCCACAATAATCATTAATTCCTTTACACATTTTAAATTCACTAATTGATTGTATTGAAGATTTGTTTACCTTTTGGAATAACTAGAGTTAATGATTCTACGAGTACGTTCGTTTGTCCAACAATAAATTCTTCTGTTTATTGTTATTGACATTTGTCTTTGTGTTCTTGACGAGTTAGTGTTCTGAGTAATTGACACTTCTAAAGGGTTATTTAGGTTGTTCCGTGGTTCCGCTGGTTCCATTTTGATTTTGGTCTTTGAGGCAGACAGACTCGTGGTATTACATTTTTAGTAATCGGGAAACATCTCGGATTTTCTACGGTCTGTCTGAATATATTTAACTTCGTTAGTTGTTTGGAGCCTTGTGCTATTTGATTTGCCGTATATTTTTGGCGTTAACGTGAGTTAAATCCGTTATTCGGGATCTATATCCTCTTGACCAAATCAAACACGTTTCGATCCCCGACTTAGAACACTAGGGGTAAGTCTTGTCTTCCTTCCTGTTGCAATCGTTAATTGTGTGTTTCTTAGGATTAATTTTGATTACTACTATTACTTTGGGTTGAATTTTCCAATCCGTATTTTCTTGGATCTTCCGTGAGGTTATTTGTATTTAACTGTCTTCCGATTGGACTGGGACCGATTCCTGCGTCACTTTGACCGCCTGTAGTTGCGATAGTTGATTCGACAAAGTTCACCTGTTGTCCCGAGTATCTGGATTCTTATGTGATAACCAGACCGTCACCAGGAACCTTGGGAACTTCACCACGTGGGATCCGTCCGCCATTTTCGGAGAAGTTTTATTACAATTATTTATTTAAATTTAATTCATCGTAGTTCAATTTCTTTCATTTTTCTTATTGTTAAATTCATCTTCACGTATAGTATCAATTTTATTATCGTTAAATTTTAATTCAGTACGATAGTTAATTAATTTTCTTTTGTTAATAACGAAAATTCGACTCGCCTTTACCGTTTTGTAATTACTCTGTGAATTATAGATATTCCTTTGGATCTGGACCCCAACTGATCGATCAATTGGAGGATCCAGCTGTATCGCCATAGTATATTGACTTCGCAGAACTTCGTTTTACTTTGAACCATCCGGTTGACCGGATCACCATCGGTAAGTCGAATTTGATTTATACCGTGACTGCTATCTCGTACTGTTTGGAATTTCTTAATAATTATCTTTCTATTTCTTAATTTTCTCTCAATTTTTTTTTGTATTGTATTCTATTATTTCTTTCGCTATTGTATTAAATTAAATACCTATAGAGTTACGAAAAGTGTGTACTATCAATTCCTTGTTAAGTTGGGAGTTGATATAAGATTATATTGTTAAGGGCACTTGGTCAACTTAACTGGCGCCCGTTTTATATTTAAATATCATTTAATTTCGACTCACTCCCGTCTCATTTGAGTATAGCCGCGTGCCCGGATGTTCAAGTCATCCACCTAAGTAACAAAAATATATATTTACCGTTTTATTTTTGTAGTTTTATTAAAGGGGTAAAATTTTAACGTTACATTTTGGCGCCCAACGTGGGGCGAAATGCGAAAGAAATAAGAAGAATAAGAAATTCCGAACATTTATTATTTTATTAGGTTAGCTGATACTATTTTGAATTGTTTTATATTTGAACTTTTTGGAAATATTTGATTATATATTGAACCGTGATTTTTGGGGCTTGATCCTACCCCTTATCTGGAATTGTTTGCGCTGTAAATTTATTGAATTATATCGGTATTGTTGTGAATTTCACTGGTTTTAAACATGTCCCGAAAAATGTGGGTGAATCGTTTAGATAAGGATGAGTTAATTTGGGAGTTACAACTCCGAGGCGTCCAAATTGGGACAATTGACGAAATGCGTTCTACTCTTTCGGCAGCCCTCAGACTAGAGAAATCCGGTAGTAGTGTACGATACCCTAAATATCCGTTTACTTATGAGGAAGATGAAGCGGCCATAGAAAGGAAGTGTGTCGAGATTGATTTTCTGTTAGGTTCGTATACAGGTGGTACCATGGTGAATGAAACCCAGAAATTGTCCACTAAATTGAGCCATGCGCTGAATCGGATTGATCAAATGGAGTGTGAATCGGTCGAACAAGAGGCTAAAAAGGCGGAATTATTGTCACGTTTGTTAGCGTTGTTAAATACCTTCCACAGGAAGTCTGGTACCGTAGAGAAGTCCGAAGAAAAACCGGAACCAGTAGCTTTGGAGTTGGTTATGAGTCGGCTCGATGAGGAATTCCAAGCCGGATTGCAAGACGCATGTGCGTCATCTCATGTTTCAACACCCCAGCGACCGACGAATTCTTCGGTCAAACCGGTTCTCCCCCATAAATGGCATCTAGAAAAATTCACTGGTACAGGGAAGTCGATGTCGATTACAGCTTTTTTCGAGAGAGTGGAAGAATTGAAAGTTGCTCGTGGTGTGTCTGATGAAATTTTGTTAGATTCTGGATTCGACCTTTTTGCTGATAGGGCTTACCAGTTTTATAAGGATGTTCGCCGACGAGTGAATACATGGAATGAGTTGCGTAACGAATTTGGGCGTGAATATCAGTCTGCGTATCATACCGATCTGTTGTTCGATGAAATTAGGAGAAGGACTCAACACCCTTCTGAGTCCATTGGTGTGTATTTGGCGGTGATGAACAGTTATTTTGCTCGTCTAGATTGTACTCTTTCTGAGAAGGTGAAGTTATCTATTATACTTCGGAATTTACACCCGTTTTACCAGGATAGGTTGAGAGATCCGCTTCCGTCTACCCTTGAAGAATTACGGTCGGTTTGTCGTCGAATGGAGGATAGGCGAGATGCGATTAATAGTTACGTTGAACCAGGTAGTAGACGTTCGAATATTTTAGAGAGGGACTTAGCATTTCTTGAGGTAGAAGATGAACCCCAAGTATCGAGGACGGAGCTTGCGACAGCCTCTGCTACGAAATCGAATGAACAGGTCATTTGTTTCCGGTGTAAGAAACCAGGTCATCGGGCAATAGGTTGTGTAGTCCGTAGACCGTTACATTGTTTTAAGTGCAAGAAAGAAGGCGTTACGGTGAGGACTTGTCCCAAGTGCGGGTCGGGAAACGGAGGCTCACGTCCATGAGTGGTCGACAAGGGCGTGAAGATGAATTGTCCAGGACCAAAATAACTAACGTTCTTAATTTTATTCTCGAACATGCTGAGGGGGATGAGAGACCCTATCTGCGAGTGAATGTCTTGGGTTTGGAATTATTAGGCCTTTTGGATTCTGGTGCTTCCCGTACGATAGTCGGAGCATCTGGTTGGCAACAATTACGACGTTTAGGACTCGAATTAGATGAGAGTAAGAGATCACAGTGTCGCGTCGCGAATGGTCAGTTATGTGAGAGTTTGGGAGAATGTTTGGTACCGTTCTGTATTCGTGATCAGTTGAGAGTAATTTCGGTCATGGTCGTATTAGAAGTTCCACATATTCTAATCTTGGGTGCTGATTTTTGGCGTATTATGGGCATCGTTCCGGATCTTAGACACGATGAGTGGCGATTTTCATCTACACCCTTTCCCGTCATGTCGGTAGAACGAGTGAGTGGTGATATGACATTAGATAGCGAACAACAGATACGATTGGACGAATTAGTTAATCGATATAGAGAATTAATGGGAACCGATCTAGGATGTACGAATGTAGCTGAACATGTGATAGTGTGTAAGGCTTCCCCGATTAAACAACGATACTACCCCGTATCCCCCGTGATGCAATCGTATATTGATAAAGAATTGAATGAGATGTTACGATTGGGTGTGGTCGAGAAGTCTAAAAGTCCGTGGAGTTCACCTGTATTATTAGTGAAGAAGAAAGATGGTTCTTATCGTTTTTGTGTCGATTTTCGAAAGTTGAATTCAGTGACTGAGAGAGATAGTTACCCGTTACCGTATATCTCCAATACCTTGGATAAGTTGCGAAAGGCTCAATATTTG